TTCAAAATTGTTGCTAGCTCCCAAATACAAAGCACTGCAAATTACTGTATATCAACCAACTTAGTATGAATGCTACACCTAATTTTTCAGTTCTTTGGTGAAGTAGTCATTGAACTAGCTCTTTATTTCCAATCTGTACTTTATTTTGATTTTTAAATGTTTAGACTAATCATGCACATTCTTCCTATTGCTCTCTTCCGATCCTCCCTCTGAGAGTGTTATTTCCTATCCTCTTGCTATCTGAATTTACCCTAAATTTTCCAATTCTTATTCGAAATTTTTAACTGATTCTTTTGTTACTAACTGTTAGTTGCAATGTAGTCTAGTAATCACCTTAAATGCACTGACACATCAAGCAACCGATGGAAACTAGTCCCTACTGCTCAGCTGAATGAGTATAGCAATCTTTTGTAGCCTAGGTTTTGAGGGAAAAAATTTCTATTTTTCAGGGTCAAGGAGTTTTTGCAGCATTTACTAAATTGCTTGTTTTGCCTCACACCTTTATATGTACAAGTTTATTGAATATGCCTATATATACACACATACACGCTGCAATTAACATAAAAAATTAATGAATGGTGGTGGATTTCATCCTTCTCAACAGTGATGATGGTGGTCGTGGTGATGATGGCGGCCATGGAAAAGACGGTGGAGGAATCCATGGTGGTGGTGATGGTGTCCATGATGATGGTGGTGATGGTCGTCAAAGATGACTACCTGAAATATTCTTATAGGTAACAGGAAATCGTATCCAATGCATTTTAAAGTCTAAAGTAATTTGACATACCGGTGGTTGTTGAATAACTGCTGGTGGGGGTGCATGAACGTATGGTGGTGGAGGTTGTTGTTGCCCATAGGGTGAATAGCCGGGGTGGCTTGTTGGGTACTGAAAATTCATCTTAGGGTTGCGATGGATCACTAATCAATACTTATATTTTAAAGCTTTGCGCATACCTGATTTGGATAGTAAGACATCTCAGAGGTCAGCGGTTGAAACGATGGAAAAAAATCAAATGCGATCGTTGCTGTGAGCTAACGGCTATTTATCGCACGCCACGAGGGTG